TAAGGAATGAAAAGCAGGTTCAGTAGTCAGGAATGTTCTCTTCGGAGAGATGATATTACAGTGAATCTCTGAATAAGAAGGAACATGAGAAGGAGGGAAGAGGAGGACTTCTGTAATTCCCTTTGGAGTCCATAACAAAAGCAGATCAATTAGAGTCAGTTGCTGCTTAAAATGAAACCCTGTCCTCCAGAATCTGGATATCCACATTGATTTTTAATATAACTGATGACATGAAAGATGACTATCTACACATTAAAACATTATTCTAGGAACTGGAGAGATGGCTCAGTGGTTAAGAGCACTGACTGATTTTTCAGAGGACCCTGGTTGGTTCCCAGCACTCACACAGTGGCTAACCTCCATAACTCCAGTTTCAGGGTATCAGATACCCTCTTCTGGCCTCTACAAGCAATGTACACATGTGTGGCACCTACATACATGCAAGCAAAACACTCATACTCATAAAATAAAAATAAATTTAAAAATCCTTATAAAAGTACACAGATAAGAGTTCAAATGACATAAAATGACATTTACAAAATATTGATAGATAAAAAACATTTTAAGATTATATATAGTATATGATCATATTTTAAGTACAACCGAATTCTTTTACTTTTCCTCACTTTAATAATCTGTATTTTTACATTAAAGCATGCATTTTAGATGAGTAAACTATCCAAAAGAATGCAAAACAACTTTGAAACTACATAAACTTTTTAAGGATGGATAATACCTACTCTTAGAAAATAAATCGACAGTGGTAAAATGTCAAGTATTTCAATGGAAAATAAATAGATACATGAGTAATTCATTTTGTATCTCCCAGAACCAGACTCAGTAGTAGGGATAATTTCATCGTGTTCTTGTAATCAACCCTCATATGAAATCAAAGAGGAAAGCAGACCTGGGGGAGGTTGCAGGGGAGAGTAGAGAGGCAGGGGAGATGAGACTCTACTGAAAAATAATTTGTTTGAAAATGCCAAATGATTGCTAATGCCTTGTATGCTAATTTTAAAGATAAAAATAACTTTAAAAACCCTAACAAAAATCTCATTTCTATCTGCATTTTATACTAATGTGTATGGAAATTCTGCAACTTGTTCTTGGCTACACCTAATAATAAAGAAGTAGAAACAACTTTTTCTTTTTGGTTGTGAGCCTGAGCTGTTAAGTGTTAAGCCATCTCTCTACCCTAGAAACAACTTTTAAACTTGGCATGTTCAAAACATTCTATTTTTAACACACTGTTTTCTTTACACTTTCTAAGGAAATAATTTAACTATAATATGGGACGGTGCTCCACCATTAAAGGTTTAGCTATGGATGGCTTTGTTGATTTCTTAGGAAAATGGAAGTGAAATGTGGGAAGATAAAATGCACCATAGACACCTACTCATTAGATAAACAAACAACTCTTCCGTGGTCTGGAGTATCACTCTGTGGAGGCAGAAGACTCACACATCTGGTGTACAACCAGGAGATAGATGAGAATCAGTCACTTATAAATCATCATGTAGGAATAGTACATGTTTATTGAGAGGGCAAACTAGTAAAACAATCTCAGAAATAAAATAAATAAAATAAAATAAAGAAATAAGGAAGATTATTTATTGGCCATAACTTTGGGTTAAACATTTAGAAAACTTCTTCTGAGTGTTCATGATCACTGAGTATTATTAGCACATTGTTCATGAGTGTTCATGATCACTGAGTATTATTAGCACATTGAGGTTTTGATCACATATATGTTTCTATGACCAAGAAGTACAATAAGAGTTATAAAATAAAATCCTACTAGGTCTGTAAACTCCTCAAGTGCTTGGCAGTCATACATACAAACATAAATACTTCCTGCAAAAATATCCATAGTCCAATATTTAAAGACGCCCCAAGGATGAATCAGCAATATCGTTATGTAGTACACAAGGAAATAAGGCTCCCTGAATGAGAATCAGCATATGTGATAAGCCAGAAAAATCAGCACAAAGAGGGATCATCAGATGAAGTTCCAAGCAGACGTTTGACATCTTGACTGGCTAGACCTTAACACATATGACAGAATGCATGAAATCTGGTGGGGGATTCTATGAGGGGATATGGTTAGGGGAGGGGTCTAAATGTGATTAAGACCTGTTATATGAAATATACAGAAACTCAATAAAAACATACATTAAAATAATATCTTGAAATAAATAACTTAAAATATTTAAAATGTAAGCACTTTAACAACCATCACTCATAATCATAGAAAGCCAAATGGATTTGCTAGAAATGAAAATTAATTTAAGTAACGCTGAAATGACAAATGGCATGTTGGAGTAGAGGAGTGAGCTCATAAACTGAATAGTGGTTCCAAGGAATTTGACCAAGAAGGCATGGCTGTACATGCCTTTAATTTCAACACTTGGAAGGCAGAGGCAGTAGATCTCTTTGAGATCAAGGCCGGCCTTTTCTACACAGTGAGTTCCAGGCCAGCTGAGGCTATAGAGAGGTCCTTAAAAAAAAAAAAAAAAAAAAAAACCTAAAACATAAAATAGAAAAAAATAAATTGACCAGACTGTAACAGGGAGAAGCCAAAAAAGGAAAATATAATTTAAAGGTTATAAAGACTAGATAATAAAGTAAAAGAGAGTTAAGTATAGGCGATCTTTTCATTTGCAAAATGTGAACAACTGAATTCATGACAAACGTATTGGTCCGAAGAGGGCTTCCCTTCACTGCTACCTTTTGGGATCTCATGTTCATAAGATCACAATGATCCTTCCAGAAAAACGGGCAGACCCATCCAGAAAAAAAAAAAAAAAGACATTTCCATGCAGCTGGGCACAGATGAAAGGTAAGGGCAAAAACAGACATCAGTATCATGAGATTCAGACATGTGCTATTAAAATCGAATTGCTCCTTTTTCAAGCCATGCTTGGTTTTTGTGGTTCTACAGATCAAAAAACACCTGGACAAGGAATAGAATTTCAAAGGGTCACAGGTAGAAGTGAGTATGATGGTATACCAAACATCTCCTGAGTTTCCCACATGGCTTGAATCAACCCAGTCTTCCCATACTGTCACCTGTAGTTCTCAAGAATAACTACAGAGTGTGTAGAGTGTCCAACATTCTAAGATGAGGCGACCCACCCAGAGCAACCTGAGCTCTTTCTAAGTGTTTTTACAGTCATGAGCTCCTTCAGTCCTGTGGTCTGGCTGTGGTATGTCACTCCTGCAGTGTAAAGCGAAAGGTGGGTTGCTCTCTTGTAGTTCCTCAACTTGGTGCAGCTGAGGTATGTGCAGATGGGGTTCTATCCATCTTGGGCATCATACATGATACCTCATGTAACCTCGAAATTCCTCTGCAAAGCTAGAGTTGATCAGGTGCGACCATGGGCAACGCAGAGCACACTGGGAAAAGGGGTGGAGCCGCAGCCATATTGGGCAGAAAGAACGGGGCTGGCGTTGGCATGCTAGTGGCCAAACACAAAAAGGTGAAAAGCTGGAGGACACTGTGGGCAGTGGGACTTGGATGGCGTGGGAGTTTCAAAGATGTAAAAGGAAAAGCTTATGAAAATCCATGTCTTTGTACATCACCCCCTCCTGAAAGGCATAAACTACGCAAAATCCAAATAGAATTATGTCGTTTGTCAGTCCATGTCAGGACTGTGAGACCCTGAGTGAGGGTGGGTCTCCCAGCCGGAAGAGAAAAATTTAGTGAAGCACATCATCATGTCTAAATCCTAGTCTTCTGTTACCCATTACTGCCTATCTATAAAAGAAAAACCCTCAAAATACCATGTATATGGCTGTTCTTTCTCATAGGATGCAGATAGTAAAACAGCTCCAGATGCAGATCTTAAGTGGCAATCAGAGCACAGTAAATATTCACAGTGTTGGATCTTTTATTGAATTATAGCCATAGAAGAATCTAGTTAAGTACTCCTATCTGCCATAGGTCTGCCAGAAGTCTTTTTTTTTTCCCTGGCTTCTTCTATTTTGGGACTGAGTCTTGTTATACAGCCTAGGATGACTTCTAATTTTCC